AAATACATAGGGAAACGAATTTTTCATTGTAATGTTAAGCATGTCGTTTTCCAAAGTTCTACGTTTTTGCAATTACTTTTTTTCTTATTTTTATTCACGCAAACGGTATTCGCCTTGCAAAACTATTCTATCACTATAAATATTTCATATGTTATCCGAGAATAATAGGCAAACAAGATTGTGCTTGAGCTATTTGCATTGTCTATTAAAAGAATACTAAATTATTTAATGGAATAATGCATTATCGAGCTTTTTATTTAATTCACACCTTAAAATGCTTTCGTAAATATTTCTTATTTTGTAACTCATGCACTGGAGTATTTCTTACTCGTTAAATCAAAGTGTCTTACTTAAATTCCTCGAATATCTCATTCGAGCGCTCTATAATTGTTTATTGTACGTAATATTTAATTGCTTAGAGTTGCACGCTTATATTTTACTTTCATTTAGGCTCTATTATAATTGTTATATTGGCACTTTATTTATTATGGTGATTTAGCGATAAAATTAAATTTAAAGGAATATATGATAGGTCATATATGTATTGAAAGCGGAAGGCAATCGTTGAAAAGCTATTTTTAAAAGAAAAATATTAGAATAATTGTAAATGCACATATGCTCGTATTGCATAAGGTAAAAACATTTGAATAAAAAAAAAGTATGTGCATATTTTGCAATTGTTTTAAATTATTTTTTTGAGTGCCACCTATTGGATAATATTACGTGTATTTGTGAAACACATCTGTAATTACGAAATGCTAAAGAACTATGAACCTCTATCGGTGAAATAATTAAGGGATTAAAGGATTAGTGACATTTTTGTCATCGCTTTTTTTTTTTTTAAATCTCTCTCTCTCTCTCTCTCTCTCTCTCTCTCTTATTCTTATTATAAGTGGCAACGATTGTGAATAGATTGATAAAATATAGCAATGAATACGTTACAATCGAATGAATAATATGCGTTCGTGCGGATGCTCGTGTCTGCGTGCTTGTACGCATGTATACATTTACATTTTCTGTCAAAATAATATTGTTCGAATGTCCAATTATAATCGATATACCAAGCGATATTTAATATTATCAGTAAGAAAGATCGAGCTCGCGCTGTTCGATGGGGCAATTCGATAACTTTGTATACATATCGGATGTATACCTGAAAAACAAGGAATAGCAAAGCGGCTAAGGACAAACGTCCTATCTAGGTCTCGTCTCGGGTCGTTTCGTAGGGAATAGTTGCAAGTTGGTATGAACTGCAATTTTCGCGGTCAAAGGAGAAGGGAGTCTCGGAATTACAAAGCCAACCGACCGATTCCGAGGAGTGTTACGATGCAGAAAATATTTTTCGAAATGGCGCTGTAGCCTAGAATAGACGCGACTTTTGTCGATCGTACGTCATCGGTATTTTTGCTATTGTTAATTTGGATTTTGGGGCTGAGTTTTCGGAGGAAGTCACGTCCTCTCGGGATGCCCAACGTATTGCAAATTTTCTTTTTCGCCTTGAGATCATGTGGTTTTATCCGATGGGGAAAAGACTTGTGTCGTTGCATAAGTTTTTCGTGCTTTGTCCTTACAGGTTTTATAAATTACACTCGGCAATCGTCACCGACTCATACAATTTATTAACAATGTCAAACAATAATATTAGCTGTGAAATTTAACGCAAATAGGTTATACATGCGCGATTGCTCGAGCTAAATTTTTGCAATTAGTTTCCTGTGCAAAATTGAAATTTGTTTACGTAAATATTTAAATACAATGAATATGCAAAAGATTTATAGTTTCTTTCAGTATTTTTTTGAAACTGAAGTTCTTTATTCATTGCAAATTGATATCTTCGATCGAGAAACTTGATTAGCATTTTAAAAAATTCTCGCGTTCATGTAATATCAAAGAGCAACTAATGTTTAATACTAATTTAAATAACAAAGAGTATTGATTTTTAAATCTATTACAATTATTTTATTTGAGAGTTAAAACATGTTTAGACTATTACAAATGCATTATAAAAATTCAACGATTTCACAATTAATTTTTACATTAATTCTACATAATGGAAAATAAAAATATTCCTCAAAGTTTTTAATGCTTTTAAACTTATTTTAATATGTCAAAGTATTGTCTATAATGTATATTTACAATAATATAATACAATAATATAACGATTTTTACAATAATAAACATGTATATTGGTCACTTGAATTTCTATATTGAAATATGAAGAAAAAAAAAAGCAAACTAATTGTTTCTCCATATTATTATCATAGATTAAAAACTTTATGAATCATTGCAATTTTCATTGTTTCAAAAAATTCACCGCTTTACATTAATAATATTGATTGCAATTTTAATAACGCATAGGCCCACATTAAATAAAATGTTTCATTATTGTTTTGTAATTAGCTCTGATATTTCTATTGCCAATATATATATATATATATATATATATATATATATATCGAACTTTGTCAATAGGATCAATTTAATCAAACTGATCACCATACGTAATTATTTATAATAACAGAATCACGATTGCTTACAAAAATATATAACATAAGATTCAAAATTAATAAGACGAAATAAACATTATTACATAAAATGTTGAAGCACATAATCAAAGCTTTCACTTTTGAAATCATTTTTTTCATAATAACGATAAAATATTTCGGTTTAATATATATTCCCTTTATTAAACTATGTTAATTGGTTTTTACTATCGAGCTTTTAAATTTGAGAAAAAAAAAAAAAAAAAAAAAAAAAAAAGGAAAAATACATGATTATTAATTTAAGTGGATTATTTATTTTATCTGAATAGTATCAACTATTCCGTTTAGCAAAAATATTTTACTTTGTCTATTAATGTTCTTTCGATTATTGATTGTAACAATTACGCGCGCACAAGCGCGTACACATAAAAAAAAAGAATTTAAAATCATCGATATAATGAAATTATCTGCAGCTATTTTGATTATTTTTATAATAATAAGTTAATTACTTGGATGGTGAAATTTAATGAAAAACCATATACCGAAAATGTGACAAAATGTGAAGCAGTATTGGTGTACTTAGGACGTAAGGACGAGGCACTGAGCTTAAAAATATCGTATAAAATTATTTGCCGCTTTATGAAATTTTTAACCTGACAAAATACATTTCATTATCTAAACAATAATTATGCCTCGTGATACAATATAAGAGGATTGGATGCACAAGTTGGTTAGAAGAAATGCGCTGGTCCGACTTTTCCCCGGGTTGGATCGCTCTTTTAGTACCACATTGCGATTAAGGAAAAAACACTTCTTGCCGGTTCAACAGCGCACGGATGAAGTGAGCAATAAATAACCCGTGGGCGTGACTGTCACACGCAGAATCACAAGCAAACTACCTCCCGTAAGCCTCGGCCGGGGCTATTTTTATTTTCCCGCGTCCCATTAAAACGGACGAACGGACGGACGAATTGCCGAATACAAATCCGCGTCCCTGAAAGATGAACCCAGGACGAAAGACGAGGTGCGGCCGACTTGGCGTAAGATTCGTCGTCGTTGGTCGGCTTGAAAAATGGCGACCCATTAATCCCATTCGGTTTTCCCCAAACATGCGGAAGAACATGCGCGGCTTAGCAGGTGACAACAAGGTGCTCCGCTTGATTCGCCCTCGTAATTCTTCTCTTATTACGGGGTGTCCCGACAGGCCAAGATAAATGCAACGCTTAAATCAACGCGCCACTTTTTGTAACCTGCCGCTGAGGACGATTCGCTCGTCGTCCGTGGCCCATTGTAGCGCACGCCAAGTGAGTTGGAGCGAGACAGAGACGGATATTGAGGGGATGCTGGGGGATGGAGCTGGTGGCTGCTAAGGAGATAAATAATGAGTGCGCTAAGGGACGAGAGGGGGCGGGAGGAGGAGGAGGAGGAGGAGGAGGAGGACGGGTGTGATGAGGACGTCTTCGATCTTAGACCATCCTAACCTTGGCGCACCTTGCGTTAAAGAGAGAAATATGAAGAAATTACGATCATATTATGTGAATTCGCGAGGTATGATCGTCGAGGAAGAAGTTGCTTAATCGAGGATCAATGCTTTGCTCCAACCATTTTTTTTCTGTTTTTTTTTGTTTTTTTTTGTTTTTTTTTTTGTTTTTGTTTTTATGCAAATAGCAGTATTATACAACAGCGCGTTGTCAATTACTGGTCGTAACCAGTCGTAAAGCGTGAGCGAGAGATCTCTCTCTCTCTAGGGAGAGAGAGAGAGAGAGTGAGAGTGAGAGAGAGAGAGTGAGAGAGAGAGAGAGAGAGAGAGAGAGTGAGAGTACGCCGATGTGCAGCGTCGGTGGCTATCCGACGGATGCTTACGCGCTACTACGCTCATAGGCTCGTGTAATTGTAAACTTAGCGGCGGGTATAAATCTTTTTAATGATTATTTTGAATGCCAGCGCAGTCGATTAAATATAATCATCTCCAATGCGAAGTCTTTATAAAGTTTATCGCATTATTCTCAAGCTCCATTAACTTTACTACAACTCTCTTTATTCCACACTCCTCTATTCATTAGCGCATGATCCATAGGAATTTTTATTCTTTTTTCTATGTCGTCGATCCTTTTCCAAATACACAATTTCACCTTATCCTTATTCACATTTTTAATTTGCTTTCATTTCTGTGCTCGTCTACAAGCGCGCGAATTATTAGCCGTGCAAACAGATAAATCAATGCCAAAGCCCTTTCATTGTATTCGTCGTGAGGCGCGACTCGTTGAATCATCATCAATTTGCTTTATACCCACTTACGTGCGTTTATCTACCGTTGTAATGTTGACATGACCGACGCGTACTTTAGCCTGTCGAATGCCAAATCCTTACTGACATTTGCCAAGTCGGCAGGTAGAGAGTGGGGCGTAGCATTAAATCGTTGAAAGTACACAAAGAGCGGGTACGTAGGTCCGTATAGAGGAATCTCGGAGACGAACGAAACGGCACGAAGCAAGAGGAAATTCAGAGATAACTCACCGACTCCAGCAACGTGTATCTTCTTCATCCAAGGATAGATAACGCGATCCCCGTTCTCCTCGTCCTCCTCGTCGTCCTCCCCCATGCCCGGGGATCCATCCATCATCTGGTCGTCGTCGAGGTCGTCCTGATCGGATCCCTCCTCCTGGTGATGCTGTCCCTGCTGGCTGCTCTGGAGACTCTGATGCTGCGACTGTCCCGCCTGCTGCTGGTTTTGCAATTCCGGAGACGTATCGCGATGCATCGAGGCGGAACCCGCGGGACTGCAGACGTTACTGTCGTGCTGCTGCTGCTGTTGTTGTTGTTGTTGTTGTTGTTGTTGTTGTTGTTGTTGTTGTTGTTGTTGTTGTTGTTGTTGCTGCTGCTGCTGCTGCTGCTGCTGTGCCTGAATACTGTCCTGAGACACGTGATTTTGCATGAGCGTTGGCGAGAGAGTCGTCGAACCCAACACCGTCGCCGAGGAGACGCTCTGTTGTTGTTGTTGTTGTTGTTGTTGTTGTTGTTGTTGCTGCTGCTGTTGCTGTTGCTGTTGCTGCTGTTGCTGCTGCTGCTGATGGCTCTGCATGGAGGGCGGGCAGGTCAGGGGGGGCTGCTGCGCCTCTGGCGGCATCGCCAGGGCGCCAACCGCGTGGTGGTGCGGATGCAATGTCGCGTGGTGCACAGCGTGCACCTGGTGGTGCGGATGGTGGGAGGCGTAGTATCCCCCGTAGCTGGCGTAGCCACCGTTAAGCTGGACGGCGGAGGTCGCACCGTATGGCGTCGAGGCCGCTTGGTGATGGTGCTGATGATAGCCGTATTGCAGCTGGTGGGACTGGGGGTGATTGAGGTGGTGGCCACCGCCGAAGAAGTCGGCGCCGTTCGCCGGTATATAGTTACTCTGGCTGTACTCCTCGCTCGGAGGGAACTTGGGGTCGACCATGTGGTGGGCCACGGTCTGCTGGTGCTGCTGATGATATCCGCCACCCGTGGACGGATTCATGAGGAAGGAGCTCATGTCTGTCGGGGCGCGGGGTCGCCGGGATCGTCCTCGAAGCACCGCTACGCCACTGATCCTCTAGCTACGTTAGACGAGTCCTGCTGGGCGCTCCGGGCACGCGACTCACATGGCGAGTCGAGACGCTCGCGTCACTTCGCGGCCCAGCATCCCGCCCGGCCGGGGCGAGGTTAAGCGAATCAGGTCCGAGTCCTCCTTGCCGTGACGAGATCAGCCCGCACTTCACGAGCCTGCGTTCGAACGGTCGATGGGGAGCGCGCGCGCGGTCTTCCCGTCTCGCTCCTCCACGCGTGCACTTCTGCGACGTCTGTGCCCGGGCACACGGAGCTCGGGGGGAGCCGCCAGCTGGTGCCCGCCCACTCGTGCCCAATTACCATACCACGTGAGCGCGGCACGGGCCAATCAGAGCCGCGCTGCCCGAGCGACCATGATGGATGGCTCGCTCGCGTGCAACACGTGAGTGTGGCGCCGCGCCGAGCCCCTGCGGCAGGTGCACCAAGTATTCGGCTCGGTCGCTAGACTTTGGGAATCGAGATCGTAGTACGGCAGCGGCGCCGCTTGCCACGAGAACTCTTTTATTATCCTCGGCCCTCTCGCACTTCCTTTTTACCCTTTACGTGACACTATTTTTCTGCTCGTTTTCTTTTTTTTCCGTTTCGTTGTTTCGTCGCTTTGTCAATGTAGCACACGCGAGAGGTGCGCGCGCGTAGATGCTGCGGAGGAACCCTGCGAGCCGAGAGAAGACGTCGTACTGTCAGAGCGGAGCCATAAGGAGCTGAGGCTCGCCGTGCCTCGGTACGAACTCGTCTGACGGCCGTCCGCTCGACCGGCGCTCCCTCCAGTTCGGATGCGCTCTCTCTCTCTCTCTCTCTCTCTCTCTCTCTCCTTACCCTCTCTTCCCCATCCGTGTGCATCGCCGTCCTTCTCGGGCTCGCGAGAGGCTAGAGTCACGGCCCCACCATCGTATCTCCGAGCCAGCGCGCACTAAGCCGCACATTCCCACCTCCCGACCGCCGAGTGAGGCCAACCCCTATGCGCCCGCGCACCGAGGGTACGAAGAGACGCGCCCGTGTTCGTGAGTGCGTGCGTGCGTACGTGCGTGCGTGCGTATATGCGATGCGATCCTGCGGCCTACGCTTCTGGAATATGTCGACCAAAGGAGTCACTCCTACGACTCTCCTTAACCCGCCTCTCGCTCTCTCACTACTCTTCTCCGTTCGCGTTCAATCATGGCGTGGCCCTCTTTCCTTCGACAAGAAAATCTTCGAATGCAAGTGTACGAGTGAGTGAGAAAGCGCGAGCACGAGAGAAATGCCAACGCGACGGTGGCAAAGGGTTTGGAGGGAAAGTCGCTAGGGACGCGCCACGGGGGCGATGAGAGAAATCGGGAACGGGTTGAGAGTGCGAAAAGTTGGCCTGTCCGAGGGAATTATGTGCCGTGGCTTCGCCCGGATTACGGCCCGAGAAGCATGTGGTGGAACGTCGATGTGGTGTCATCATTGTACATGATGGATTTGTAAATGTCTCTCGACGTTTTCTCATTCCGGAGAGAATTATTCTTTTAGGCCAATACATAATTATGGTGTACTCCAACGATTTTGAAAGAATCGTCGTGATTAATGGTCGAGAGGCAATCATTCCGTGAAATTATTCTAATTGCAAATTAACTTTGCGCATTACATGTTGAGTTATTTTTAATTATAAATTATATTTAAGTGGCATCCCTTAATGTACGTTTTTGCCATTCAATTCACTTCATTCCATGTTATTCACCATAAATTAGTAATTATCTAAATATATGGGATGAGAATTTTTCTTGCCATATTGGCGTATTAAGCAAGCCTTTGCTTCATTTGTTTGATATTAAGAAATGCAAAGAGAATGACATTCCTTCAATCTCTTCAAACAAACATTACAATATAGCGGCACGATGGGAATACAAAATGCTTTCGCCAAAAAAATAAAAGTAGCGTATACTTTACAAAAAAAATCATACATTATGCTCTATTATTAGTGGTATCGTCGTAAATGTCTATATTTAAATTTTGTTTAAGTTTATATTTAATATAATGCGTGAACGATCCTGTATTTCTTCATTATCTATTCAACACCATACGAATATTAAAATATATATATTCTTCTTCTTCTCCTTTTTCTTCTTCTTCCGCTTATTATTATTATTATTGTTATTATTATTATTATCATTATTATCATTATTATCATTATTATTATTATTAGGGAATAAGTAGGATTTTAATTTTAATTTTACTGGGCAAAAGTAGCAAGAAATTCCAATGTCTTAGAAAAAAAAATATATTTCGATTTAATAGTAGTACAAAGTTAACTAATTAAGCAATCCTTTACGTGACAATTACAATATTCTAATACCTCGCATTACTAGTCTATTACCTTATAAATAAATACTATAATAGTCTAGATTACCTAATGTTTTATCGTTCATGGCAGAAACAAAATAATGTCTTCTTGTATTTCGTGTTTCTCCTTTCTTTTCCTAATATAAATTACATCCAAATGCTACTAATGCATGAAGTTACTAACCTCCCGCACACTTAATCCATTCATTCTTTCCATTACCATTGCTGGTTACAATTGCCTTACTGATTGCTCGAAGCTCGCCAATAATTAATCGAAAAGATTTATTTCAATTATATATACTTTATCGGTGAAGTTGTGTTTGTGTTTATCGGCCTAATGGCACAAATGAATAAACAAATACTTATTATAATTATACAGAAGCCTAATTTTGCTAAAATAACGATTCGCATAGTGTGGTAATACGATGGCTCGGACAGTATAATGTCGATAAATATAGTTTTAAATTATGTTTTATTGATATAAAACTGATTGATATATAAATATTCAACTGTATAAAGTTTTTGGGCACAGCAGAAAAACGCATATGCGCAAGCATCCGTAGGCACAATACGTACAAAGCGACCAGTCATTATATTAAAGCATACTCATGATTTTTTACGTTATTGGCATTAAGTTGAATAAGTGCAAAACATAATAAATCACATATAAATAAAATGTTGTCTTAAGAATAAGAATTTTTTATTTTTTTCTTTTTTTTTTTTTTTTTTTTTTTTTTAATTCTAAAATCACCCGCGTACACTGACTGTAACATTTTAATTTTACTTTTCTTTTGTTTGAAGGCACTAAGAATGTGGAGTAATAGTGCTAGATAATATATGCATATGAAGCTGCTAATATTGACAATGAATAAATAGATTTTAAATTATAATTGAATATTAGCTTGTCTGTCTATATTCAAGATACATATTACTCGGCTTTGTATTATAACGATGAAAATTATATATTTAGAGACATATTGAATTTTCATGATTATTCAAATGAGAAATTATGATAATCATTTAAGACGTTGTTTTACTTGTGCTTTTAAATATCGTCTATTATAAATATAATTTAATGATACTGTTATGTAATATATCAATGACCGTTAAAACGCAGTATTAACAATAGTTTATAATTGTTGAGAAATATTATATTTGGGAAATTGACAAGTTTAAGCTATTAAAAAAGCTTGCAGTATTTCATTTACTCCGTTGCTACAAATCAGCTTTAGTTTATTCTTCGTAACGAAGCGTTTGGCCGTTGATCATGCATTTTCAGTTTTCGAAGAAGATCATTCAAAAGAGACATCCAGCCATATAAAAAGCTAATCCAATCATCAGCCGTGCGAACGTCACCGCAATCGAAACGTCTTTCTACAATTCCACAGCGTAAAAACGGCAATTACTATCGATCGTAAGGCCGGGTCGCCTCGAGCGTAAGGACACAGAGCCTTGGCTGACACTCGGCAGGGGAAATTCGCAAATCAAGAGATCAGGAGGAGCTCTCGCGAGCCCCGCGGTAAGCCCAAGTTGGGGTCCGACTCGCGTCGCACAATGGCTCTTTGGCTGATTGTTATTTCGTCGGCTCGTGGAGGCAGCCGTGAATAACAGTTATAAATTGCCTCCGGCATGCATCGGGATAAATTGGTGACTCGTGAAAAGTCATCGAACGCGCGTCTATAGAGGATCGATTTTCCGCAAGGAGAATCCTCGCGCGTGTTACACGTCGAGTAGCATTTTCGTAACGCGAGGAATTATGTGTGTTTTTGGTGTACGGGCGTCGGTGGCGAGCGACGTATCGATGACGTCGTGTCGCAGTCTGCCGCCTTTCATTTATCAAAATGCAGGAGACGATGGGTAATTGTGTGCGTGTGCGCGTGGTTGGTGGATGGTGGGTGGGTGAGTGTATGTGTGTGTCTGTGGGGGGGGGGGCAGTAATAAGAAGAGCCGAAATTAAAGCGCGATGTCGTATTTCGTGGGGCTCGCTAAACGAACCTTAAATTAGGAAATCGATTATTTATTTAGAGGAGCGGGTAGCGCCGGTCCGGGCAGCTACGAATGCCGTCGCTTGCTTTGTATTTATCTCCGGGTGGGGGAAGCGCTCGGGCAAATAAATCTACGCCAATGGAGCATTTTAATGACAAAGTTTTGAAAAATTGGCTCTCTTGCCACGGCTTGCCGTGAAAAGCTCAAAGACTCTCTCGTCTCTGCGAACCTTTCCCGGCCCTTCCTAGTCGATGGGGACGAGCTAACGAGATTCGCTATCGTTACAAAACAGTCAGACTAGGTTAATTGAGATATTGTACAAAGACGGCCTTATTAGAGCGCAAAGAGCTTCGAGTCTTTGAAGGAACATATAATTTGCCCCGACCCCGTGATGTTTCTACGGTTATCTTATTATCGCCAATGTTCGTCGCATCGAGCGGGCGAAGGTAATTTTCTAGACATTAAATACTGATATATCACGTTGTAGTTTTATAAGTGAGCGTCATTGTCATTATATTCGTTTTATTATCTCGGTGAGAGATTTACAAATTTCATCGAATCATTGAAAAGGTTGAAATACTTTGAAATATTACCCTGTAAATTGGGTGTTCCTTAAATTAAAGAATTTCAATTTTCATTGCAAATGCCTTAATAGGGCAGCAAATTATAAGAAGTCGCACTTTTTATCTGCAATTTGTCGATTTTATTTTAATTAAGAGCATTTCCAGCACGACTGACAATTAATTATAAGAGATAGTATAATAAACTATTCATAACAATGTCTAATTCGATAACATTTTTCACATAATTGATAATCTTGTTGTTAAAATGTAGGCCGTAAT